GCACAATAAAAAAAGAAAACTCAAGCAGTTCTCTTGGAGTGTAGCATATCTCCTCCTGGGTCATGCTTTTTACTTCACCTTTAGGGTTCGCTGTGACTTAAATATAGTTATAACTCTAAAAGCAAATATGGGTAGTCGGGATGTGTTTTGAGAACATTCAGCAACTTTTTGTAAGGCATCTTCCTCAGTCGATGCCCCAGGCAATGACTCAGATGCCTCCCCCAGGGATGACTCAGACAAAGGCTTTTCAGACATAGCTAGATTAATCTCATCAGATGGGCGGGTGAAGGATCTAATGCTTTTACTGGGGAAGGTGGCTTAACAGACAAAGATAGAGTCATCTCTTCAGATGGGAGAGGGCTGGTTCTGTTGGTAGAAGTGATTCAGCGGAATTTAAGGCCTCAGTGACCCCAGCTTCCTGATTATGTGCCCAGATGTCCCCATCCCAAGTTTCAAGATCCATTTCTTCCCAATCAATGCCCTCACTTTAACTTCACACACCATTTGAGGTTGGGAATTCAAACAGCATTGTAATTCAGCCACTCTTACAATAAGACTCTGGGTTTGGTTTTCAGCAATATCACCTCTGTTACTACAAGAAAAAAGCCGTCTTTTCAAGGCAAAAGTGGAAACTTTGAGGTCATTTATGCAGCACTTCAGCTGTGACTCTGAAACCCTGAGCTATCTTTTTCAGCATTTTCAGAAGCAGGACCAAGAAACCAGCTTCCTTATACTTCTCATTCTGACATTGCTGTAGAAAGTTATCAAACACGTAATCACCCAGAACCTCATCTCTCACCAATACCTGATCTATTGGTGGTAATATTTTGTGTATTTATATTGCCACCTCATACCACGAGATTAGCAGTACACTCTCTTCTAGTGGAAGCAGAGTCATCTACATCTTTTAAGACTTAACCACACTTGAAAACCAATTTAGAAATTTCATTCTTACAATTTTGCTTCTCTAGAACCACTCTCGGAACCAAATGTCTTAGTGTCTTAGGCTGGGTTCTCCAGAGAAGCAAAACCAGTGAAGCGTGTACATATATACACGTATATATGTATGTACGTACGTGTATATATGTGTATTCACATGTATATAATACATAAACACGTGAATACATATACACATAAACACACATATATAGAAAGACGGAGAGGAAGAGAGATATTTTTATCAAGAAAATGGCTTAGGCGGTTGTAGAGGCTGGAAAGTTCAGTGCATGGGTCAGGATTGAGGCTTCTCCTAACTCACGTAACTGCAGGGGCTGAGGAATCCAAGATCACCAGGTTAAGACAGCAGGCCTTTGGCTCACTGGCTGCAGAGGTTGACAAATACCAAAATCAGCAGGTAAGCTGGTAGCTCAAGTCCCAAGAACCAGAGACCAGATGCAAGATCCAGAGTGAGCAAAAGCCTGCTAGACTTGCCAAAAAGTCCACATACCTTGGATGCAGGCCACACCAAGGAAGTTCTCTTTCAACTGATTGGCTGCTCACAGCAGAGCTCATCATGGAAATGGTAACATCATTATACAAACGCCAAACTACATCATAACTGTCAAACCACTGAGAATCATGCCCCAGCCAAGTTCACACACAACATTAACCATCACAGGAGCCAATGAAGCTATAACTTATTTCTTTCCTCTTCCTAAAAAGAAAGAAAAACATATTACTTGTGCAATTAAAAATATGTGTACTATGACTTACACTATACAAAAAAACAAATTCAAAATGGATTAAGGACCTAAATGTCAAAACTAAAACCCTAAAATTCTTACAAGAAAAAAGAGGGGCAACGCTGTCAGGCCTAGCTTTTAAACAATGGATTATCTAATAACAAAAGCACTAACAGCAGAAGATGAAATAAATAAATGGGACCTCATAAAAGTTAAAAACTTTTGTTTATCAAAAGACTTTACCAAAAAAACGGAAAAGACAACTTACCAACTAGGAGAATATTTTCAGACACCATATATCCAACAATAACCTAATAACCAAAATATATACATAAAACTTTGACAACTTAACAAGAAGACCAATAATCCAATTATAAAACGGGCAAAGGCCTTGCATAGACACTTCACCAAAGAGGATACTCAAATGGCTACCAAACACATGAAAAGATGCTCAGCATATCAGCCATCAGATGCAAATCAAAATCACAATGAGACACTATTTCACTCCCACTAGGATGGTTAAAAAAAAACAGAAAATAACTGTTGGCGAGGATGTGGGGAAATTGAAACCCTCATCCATTGCTGGTGGGAATGCAAAATGGTACAGTTCTTGTGGAAAACAGTGCGGCAGTTCCTCAAAAAACCAAAAATAGAACTACCATAAACCAAAAAACCAAACCCACTGCCGCTGAGTCAATTCTGACTCATAGCGACCCCACAGGACAGAGTAGAACTGTACCATAGTTTCCAAGGAGTGCCTGGTGTTTTCAAACTGCCAACCTTTTGGTTAGCAGCTGTAGTTCTTTACCACTACGCCACCAGGGTTTCCAGAACTACCATATGAACCAGCAATATGACTCCTAGGTATACCAAAACACTTGAAAACAGAGACTCAAAAAGAGACTTGTACACCAATGTTCATTGCAGCACTATTCACAATAGCCAAAAGGTGCAAACAACCTAAATGCCCATCAATAGGTAAATGAATAAAAATGTGGTACATACATATGATAAAATACCATTCAGCCAGTAGGGGAAATGAAGTCTTGATACATGCTACAATATGGATTGAGCTGGAAGACATGCTGAATCAAACAAGTCAATCACAAAAGGACAAATATTGTATGACCGCATTTATCTACAAAGACAAGAAAAGGCAAATGTATAGAGAACAAACTTTATTAGTGATTACCAGGGGCAGGAGGGAGGAGGAAAAGGGGGGTTAACGGTGATGGAAAAATTACATTGATAAGGATAGGGTTGCACAATTATTGTAATTGTTGCCAGTAAGTGGTATACCTGTAAAAGGTTGAACTAGCAAAACTTGTGCAACAGATATATTTACAACAATGAAAAAAAAATTAGGTGCTGAGGCTGCTTATGTACCGGGATTTGGTTCCTTGGGTTGGAGGTTTAGGGTCATGGTATCATGGGACATCCCAGTTAATTGGCCTAATAATATGTTTAGTGCTTCTGTTCTACCTCCTAGCACGTTGTGTAGTGCCTGGGGTCTTAAAAGTTTGCAAGTGGCCATCCAAGACACAACAACTGATCCCTAACCACCTGGAGCAATAGAGGAAGAAGAGTCAGGAACAGGAGGATATAGAATGTGTGGCTAATTGCCTCCATTAATTGCCTCCTTTGCCATGAGACCAGAAGAACTGGATGATGCCTGGCTACCATTACTGAACATTTTAATCAAAAGAGTCTACAGAAGAATTCTTATCAAAAGGGAGGAAATGCAGAAAAGAATTTCAAATTCTCATGGGCTCCAGACGTCCTGGAGCCATGAAGGTTGGTTCAACCCCTGAAACTACTGCCCTGTGATAATCTCTAAACCTTACACCAAAAATATTCCCTGAAGTCATCTTAAAATCAAACAATAGTTTAGCTTAACTAGTAAAAAATATCTGCCTTGAGCATTATGCTCTTTTGGGAAATGTCTGTACAGGATCAAATTGATAACAGCAACTCAAAAGATTAGATAAGAATTGATGTTAATGAGAGTGAAACAACTCAAAAAATGTAATCAATGTCAGTAAATTGTAAACGAAGAAACTGCTGAATTGGTGTACATTCTCAACAACAAAAGAAATGGTATTCTTAAAAAATATGTGTGTGTGCACACACTTGTGTGTATAAATACCAAATGAAACCCCTTGCCGTGGAGTCGATTCCGACTCAGCAACCCTGTAGGACAGAGCAGAACTGCCCCCATAGGGTTTCCAAGGAGGGCCTTGTGGATTTGAACTGCCGACCTTTCCATTAGCAGCGGTAGCTCTTAACCACTACACCACCAGGGTTTCCGTGTGTGTATATATATAAATAAACACACCACCCTTTGCTAAGAAAGTATACTCTGGAATAAAGGGACATACGGCCACAAAATAATAAAATATAAATGAAATATGAAGACCTATAATTCAATATTATTCTAAGCAAGCAACTGTCTAGAAATATGCCGTTCTCATACAACCTCTTAATAAATTAATAAAACTGATCTCAAATTGTCACAGGGTATAAATTCGACATATATTTAATCAATGTACCTAGACTATTCATGTAGGTTAGTTTATGACAATTATACATGAAAATTGGTTTCCAAAAAGGTCTATTATATAGTTAATTTACTATCAATCAATCCACACTCCAACTTTCTTCTTCACGTTTATTATCATTTAACCTATAAATCATATGGCTAAGGTTCCTAAATCCCAAATATCATACTCATAGAAATTTTGCTTGTCAAATAGTCTAGAGATTTTTTAAGAACTTTAAAAAACACATACTCCATATTCTACACAGGAAGTACAAAACGTTACTGGATATAACAAATGGACGTATATTTTTCTATCACTGCGATGCAAACTGCGTTTCCTCTCCCCAGGCAACGATTAGGCACAAAAAAACTATGTAATACCTCTCTCAACTCCGGTCGCAAAGTCCCCGGACGAGCGAACCCCTAAACATGCACCACCCACTACCGACCCCGGCTCCCATCTAGCAGCGGGCCACGGGAGCGCGCACGCGTGGGGACGCCCCGCCCCGCCCCGCCCCGCCCCGCCGAACACTCGTACGCAGACGCCCCGGAAGTGCAGCCCCGCGGAGGGGGCCTGACTCCCACAACACGCCGTGGGAAGGGCCTGAGCCGAAGCCCCGAACTCGCCGGCCTCCCTAGGACACAGAGCGTGCAAGAAGCACCTCGCACGCATCCCCGTCCGCCTTCCCCTCTCCCCCGCTCTGGCTAAGGCTCTCACCCCTCCCGCGCGGCCCCTCCTTCCAGGCTCGGCTCGGTCCTGCCCAGACCGCTGTGCGCACCTTGACGCTCTGGTCACTGGAGCAGGTCGCCATCCGCCGCCCGTGGAAGTCGAAGGAGACATCATGGATGAGATCCTTATGATCCGCTGCAATGCTGCGCGCCACAAACATGGCTCCGCCAGGCACGCGCCTACACCGTTCACCCTTTGCGCTTCCAGATAAGGAGGCTGCGTCGGGGGCACGTGCGCACTACCATCCGCCGGGGCCGCGCGCCGCCGCGTTGCCTGGCGTGCACACGAGTGCACGTGCGCGCGCCCCGGCCCGTCATGCTCTGCGAGGCCGTCGGGAACTTCTGCCTCATTCCCAGAAGTCAGCTGACCCTCTAAGTTTGTTTTGGTGTGGCAAGAGCTGGTCATTGAAAGTTTGGGAATTAAGAAAAATGAAAAAAATTAAAATGCTATCCACAATCCTCGACCTTGAGTCAGTTTCCGTCACCATTTTTGACGTGTTTCCTCCCTGATCCGTGCGAGATGTATGGAGGGAGTAGAGAAGGTGGACCGCGGATTTGGTCAGTAAAGGAGCTTTCTTGGAACACCTAGGAAACAAGGAAGGATCGGCTGGAAGAGAAACGGACTGAGAAGTCCAGGCTTAACAGGCGGAAGTGGAGACGCGAGGAATGGAGTTGACAGGAAGAAAGCGAGGAGTTATAGAGGCTGAAGAGCAGGTGTAGTGACGGGGAGGGAGAAACGAAAGGATCAGAAGTTAACAGTCAAAAGTTTCTGAATTACAGATTTTGTGGTAGAGCAAGTTTGGGGGTAATAGCACTTAAGATGAGGGAAAGGAGATACGAGGAATTAAAGGTTCTTCATGCGGAAACTTAAGTCACCTAGTTGGATGGCAGGATCCGAACTGAATTGGAAGACTTACTAGTCTAGAACCAGAGTCCCCAACTGGGAAATCAGTGAAATAAGCAAAACTGTCTCTGGGGAGGTGGGGGAGGACTGTGAAGAAGAGTGTTTAGATCAAGGATTCAGTCAAAACCAGGGAGTGGAAGAAGGGGATTTTTTTTTTTAATCAGGGAGAGGTATTCCAGAGGGCATTGCAGTAAAGTAGGTAAGACAGGAAACTGGAAGATTGGGTCAAGGATGTGGCAGGACAGAAAAAATTCGCAAATGAGACTGAAGAAGGAGCTTGTATTTTGGATTTTGTGCAGGGAGGACAAGAATGGTGAGATTAGCAGGCTAAAAAGTTTTCCAGTTAGTCCCGCTGTCCCCTAATGGATTGCACAGAAACATGCAAAGAGAGGTGGGGAAATGACCTAGCCTTTCTGGAATTCTCTTAACTTGCCATTTTTAAAAGTTACATAATTATTATAAGGTTAAATGTTTCTTGTAAGAAGCTTTTAAAAACACAGGTGTATATAGGATAAATTCCCTTTCACTTCACGATCTAACCTCCATGCCCAAAGATTACCACTGTTACTGAGTACCCTTCCACAGCTTTTTCTATGGATGTGCATATATACATGTTTTCTCCACCTCCTCTCTACCCTGTTGGTGAGGGAGGGAGTCCCATCCTAGGGTTCTAAGGATGGCTGAAAACATGACACCAGACACTGGGCAAATGAGGCTGGCAGGAGTTTATTAGTCACAGCCAGGGGAAGGAGGTCACCACAGACCATGCGGGGCCACTCAGGGATTGCACTGGGAGCAGAATAAAGCAGAAGGGGCTGTGAGAGGCAGGGTAAACCCTGAATCTTGTGGGGAGAAGTGATTGGCTTCTTGGAATAATTCCGCAGGCTGGCCGGGAAGTGAAACTTATTAGGTTGAGGACCATGTGGAGTGCAGCTGGGTCCAGCTGATAGGGGAACCAGCTAGTTGGGGAGGCTTTCCTGCTGGGTGGAGGCTTACCCAGTGACAGGAGGGGAACTCGCGGTTAGGCCTTTGGGGGCTTGTGAGGCCAAGCAGCACATGAAATTTTAGGCCTTACAATACAATGTAAATAATAATAGTATATATATAAAGAAATGTTTGGATTTAGTAAATATATAAATACTATACCTATTTTTGCTTTTCAAAAAGTATTCAATACGTCTTGGATACTTTCCATGTGGGTCTAATTAATTGTTTCATTTTTTTTTAACTTATGCATTCCAAAATACAGATGTATTGTGGTTTATTTAACCATTCTTCTGCTAACGTACTAACAAGATATGATTTACTTTTTCATTCATATAGGTTTTATTATATGCATTTCATTATTGTTTTAAAGCTTTTTCTTCATATAGTTTTGCATGTTTCTCATTAGGTTTATTTAAACTATAATTTTTTGTGCTATCCTGAGTGGGCTTTTTTCTGTATTTATAAGAAAATTACTAATTTTTTAATGTTTATTTTGTATGTGTTTCCTTATTGGACTCTTAGTTCTTTCAGCTTCTGCATTGATTCTTTTGGGTGTTTTGCTGACAATAATTTAATAATGACTGCAGCCATGAATCAACAGGGAACTGCCAAAAGTTCAAGCTAGATTCAGAAGAGGACATGGAATGAGGGATATCATTGCTGATGTCAGATGGAGCCTGGTGGAAAGCAGAGAATATCAGAAGGATGTTTACCTGTATTTTATCAACTCTGCCAAGGCATTTGACTGTGTGGATTATAACAAATTATGGATAACAAAGAATAGAATTCCAGAACAATTGTGCTCATGTGGAACCTGTACATGGACCAAGAAGCAGTCATTCAAACAGAACAAGGGGTTACTGCATGGTTCAGAATTGGAAAAGGTCTTTGCCAACACCACAATTCAAAGGTATCGCTTCAGTCTTCCATATTCATTGTCCAGCGTTCACATGCATATGAGGCTATTGAAAACATCATGGCTTAAGTCAGGCACGCTTTAGTCCTCACAGTGACATCTTTGCTTTTTCACGCTTTAAAGAGATCTTTTGCAGCAGATTTGCCCATTGCAATGTGTCGTTTGATTTCTTGACTGCTGCTTCCGTGGGCATTGATTGTGGATCCAAGTAAAATGAAATCCTTTACAATCTTTTCTCCTTCATCATGGTGTTGCTTATTGATCCAGTTGTGAGGATTTTTGTTTTCTTTATGTTGAGAAGTAATCCATGCTGAAGGCTTTGGTCTTTGATCTTCATCAGTAAGTGCTTTAAGTCCTCTTCATTTTCAGCAAGCAAGGTTGTGTCATCTGCATGTTGCAGGTTGTTAAGGAGCCTTCCTCCAATCCTGGTGCTGTGTTCTTTTTCATATAGTCTAGCTTCTTGGATTATTTGCTCAGCATACAGATTGAATAAGTATGGTGACCTTTTGTTTCTATATATTTTCTTATTTCATGTAAGTGAACTCATACACTATTTGTCCTTTTGCCACTGACTTACTTTGCTCAACACGTTTTCAACATTCATCCACATTGTGGCATTCATCAGAACTTTATTTCTCTTTTTGGCTATGTAATAGTCCATTGTATTATATACCACATTTTGTTTATCCATGCATCTGTTGATGAAAATTGAGGTTGTTTCCACATTTTGGCTATTATGAATAGTGGTGCAATGAACATTGGTGTACGGGTTTCTGTTTATGTTCCTGCCTTCACTTCTTCTGGGTATCTACCTGGAACTCGGATTGCTGGGTTATATGGTACTTTGATGTATAACTTTTTCAGGAACTGCCAAACTTTTCCAGAGCAGCTGCACCATTTTACATTCCCACCAGCAATGAATGAGTGTTCCAGCTTCTCCACAATCTCACCAACATTTCTTATTTTCCTTTTTTTAAATTTTTTATATTGTACTTTAGATGAAGGTTTACAAAACAAATAGTTTCTCATTAAATAGTCAGTACACGTATCGTTTTATGATATTGGTTAACAACCACACGACATGTCAACACTCTCCCTTCTCGACCTTGGAGGACTTTTTTTTTGGTGAAAACATACATAGACAAAGTTATACCATTTCAAAACTTCCTACGTGTACAATTTAGTGACATCAATTACATTGTTCCAGTTGTGCTGCTATTCTCACTATCCTTTTCCAAATTATTCCATCACCATTATCTTCAACTCACTGCCCCCTAGGCTTCCCATCAAAACTTTTGAGTTGCTCTTGTCAGTTTGATCTCACATAGATAATTCTTTTTTTTTTTTTTTTACTTTAGATGAAGGTAGAACAAATAGTTTCTCATTAAATAGTTAGTACACATAATGCCGTATGACAATGGTTAACATCCCCATGACATGTCAACACTGCCCTTTCTCAATCTTGGGTTCCCTATCACCAGCTTTCCTGTCCCCTCCTGCCTTCTAGTCCTTGTCCCTGGACGGCTGTGCCTCATTAGTCCAGTTTTGTTTTATGAGGCTGTCCAGTCCCTGGCTGAACAGTGAACTTCAGGAGTGACTTCACGACTGAGCTAAAAGGGTATCCGGGGTCCATACTCCTGGGGTTTCTGCAGTCTGTCAGGCCCGTGAATCTGATCTTTTTTTTGTGAGTTGGAATTTTGTTCTACATCATTTTCCAGTTCTGTCCAGGACCCTCTATTGTGATCCCAGTCAGAGCAGTCAGTGGTGATAGCTGGGCACCATCTAGCTGTACTGGACTCGGTCTGGTGAAGGCCGTGGTAGCTGTGGTCTTTTAGTCCTTTGGACAAATCTTTTTCTTGTATCTTGTTCTCTTCATTCTCCCTTGCTCCCGAAGGCTGAGACCAGTGGAGTATCTTAGATGGCTGCTCACAGGCTTTTAAGACCCCAGACGCTACTCAACAAGGTAGAATGTAGAACACTGTCTTCATAAACTGTGTTATGCCAATTGAGCTAGATGTTCTTCAAAACCATGGTCCCCACAGCCCTCTGCCCAGCAATTCCGTCCCTCAGGGAGTTTGGAAGTGTCTATGGAGCTTCCATGACCTTTCCTTGTACAAGTTGTGTTGGCTTCCCCAGTATTGTGTACTGTCATAACTTTCACCAAAGTTACCACTTAACTATTGTCTATTTAGGTCCCACCCTCCCATCCCTTGTAACCAACAAAGATTGTTTCTTTTTGTGTGTAAACTTTTACATGAGTTTTTACAGTAGAGTTCTCATTCAATATTTGTCCCTTTGTGATTGACTTATTTCATTTAGCATAATGTCGTCCAGTTTCATCCATGTTATGAGATGCTTCACAGATTCATTGTTGTTCTTTATCTTTGCATAATACTCCATTGTGTGTATGTACCA